AGAAAATGGGAAAGTGACTCCGGCCGGGAAGAGCGGGGACGGGGTGTTGGAAGCAGCAAGCATCGGCTCTGTTTTCCTGCTCCTTCACCCTCAGCGCCTAAAACTTTATTCTGATTTGGCCAACTTCGAACATCATTGGGTGTAATTTCCTTCATAAATGATTCATTAATGAACTACTAGCCCATCCTGCTGGTAATTTCTGGAAGCACGTAGTTTGGGGCCACATGTCATGCACTGCTTGCTCGTGAGCAGGTGGGGAGCGATGGGAGCTTCCAGAGGCCAGGCCTTCCCAGCAGCAGCTCTGTTGCTGGGAACAGCTTCCAGAGGTCTCGCCTCCCAGCAGCAGCTCTGTTGAAGGGGTGTCCTCAGAGAAACATGTTTGGCCAACTAGCCAGAGGAAGCCCAGGGCCACGTGCAACGGCCATCCAAGGTCCTGATGCCCAGAGCATCCCGGCTAGTGGCTCACATAGGTGATGTCGTTTTAATACAGGTCTCCAAGTGTCTCCCTTTGCACAGGCCCTACTTTTTGCCTCTTGATGTTTTATAATTTCCAGTTCTCTTCTAGGGAGTTCTTTTAGTTTGTTCATGTCTTCTTCTAGGAGTAGCACAGTTTTTGTTTTTAAACCACTTTATTGAGGGATGATTGACATACAAAAAGCTGTACGTATTTAGTGTATACAACTTGTTGAGCTTGGAGACAAGTCCACACCCATGAGACCAACACCATATGCCATAAATACATCCATCACCTCCAGAAGTTTCCTCCTGCCCTCTTTATTTATCGATTATTATTATTATTTTTTGTGTGTGATAAGAACACAACATAAGACCTGTAGGAGTGTGGTTTTTTTTTTTTCTTTGCCGTACGCGGGCCTCTCACTGTTGTGGCCAGTCCCGTTGCAGAGCACAGGCTCCGGACGCGCAGGCTCAGCGGCCATGGCTCACGGGCCCAGCTGCTCCGCGACATGTGGGATCTTCCCGGACTGAGGCACGAACCCGTGTCCCCTGCATTAGCAGGCGGACTCTCAACCACTGTTCCACCAGGGAAGCCCAGGAGTGTGGTTTTTGAAGGTTTAAATCCCTGCTCCTGACCCGGGGGCCTCAGCTGCCCATGCCCTCACGGGGTCTCAGCTTTGTAGCAGCCAGAGCTACGAGACTGGGTGATACCACCCTTGGCCTGAGATGCCCATGAGGGGCTGGGGGCACCTCTGCACTGGAGCTTCTCCAAAGGCCTTTCCAGAGGGAGTTCTGCAGACACAAGGAGCAGATGGCCTTCTGGGCTCAGCTCCGAGCTGGTCCCACTTAAGGCCCGTGGCTGCCAGTGGAAAGGTCACACTTCAGGCCTGTGGACCACCAGCCCAGGCTGGATGAGGCAGCCTTTGGGGCCCCTCTGTGCCTGGGCTTCCCTTGTCCACTGAGCCCATTCGTGGGGAGCACTGGCTCCTGCTGTTGAACTTAGCGTGGTCCTGAGTAGGTTCCCGCCTGCTCTGGGCCTTGGTGTCCCCCCTGTCTCTCTGAGGGCCTGGCTGGGCCGCGTGGCTTTCCGAGGAGGTGGGCGCAGTGGGGCCATAGGGGTGATGAGACCTTGGCGACCCATCTCAGTACTTTTCGCATCCCCTTTGGCCTCCTAGATTCTGTCCATGATGGAAGCCCACCATCCGTCCTTCGAGAGGGGGCAGAAGTCTTCAGAGGTAAGAGAACGGGGCTGCGCTTGCCGGCCCTACTTGAGACCAGCCTCTGTCTGGCCCTCACCCACCCCTCACCGGCCTCCCTGGCTGCAGGTGCCCGCGCGGCCCCCTCAGTGCTCCGTGGATTCCATCAGCCAGGGCTCCTGCGCTTCCAGCTTCTCATCCGTGTCGCTGAGCTCCAGGCAAGAGGAGCCCAGAAAGTTCTACAGGGAGGTGAGGCCCCCGGACCGCAGGGCAGAGAGGGGCGGGGGGCGGCCTGTGTTCTGGGGGCCAGTTAGAGAGCCCCTGGGGCAGCGTGTCTGCTGTGGCGAAAGTCAGCGCCCTCGAGGGGAGCCCGGCCAGCCTCACCCTGCTTGCCCTTCATGGATGGACGTGTGTGTGTGTGTGTGTGTGTGTGTGTGTGAGAGAGAGAGAGAGAGAGAGAGAGAGAGAGAGAGAGAGAGAGATGGGAGGGGGGTATTCTAAGAAAAGTACAGGTAAAGTCACCTGTAGGTCCACTGCTTTAAGATCATTTTACGAAGTAAATTCTCTGCCCTTATCCCCCTCTCTGTCAGCACCCCTGTTAACCTGATGTGTCTCGTTCCTGACTTCCTGCAGAGTTTATGTAGACGGGTACATGTTCTCACACATTGCGTTTTGTAAAAGCTGACTCATAGCCTGTTTTGTTTGTCTGTGTGTTTTTTTCCGTCTAACCTACCTTAGACCTTGTCCATTGTCAGCCCACAGAGCAGACCATGGCGTGGATGTGCCCATCCCCTGCAGGTGGGGAGCCCTCACTGACTCCGCCCCGGGCTCCTCCTTCGCTGTCACCCCCAGACTGTGACCTGCTCTCGGAGGGCCCAGTAAGCCTAGCTCGATGAACAACCGCAGGAAAGAAAGCCAAGAGGCGTGCTCCAGAGTCTAACAGAGGCCTGGAGTCGTTCCTAGCGGGGTGCCCGCCCTCATGGTACCTGTAGCTGGCAGATAATGAGAGCTGAATAGATGCAGTTCTGAAGAGTGGCTGCCCTCTTAGGAAGCGCTTGTGCTCCCAGGTGGTTGTCGTCCCACCGTGTGCCACATGAACTGCAGGTCCTCTTATAGACCTTATGCGGAAGGTGCGGGGGATGTGTTTGAAAGATACTGAATGAGATCAAGAGACACATGAAAGCTACTAGGTTTTCAGAAGGTTTTTATTATTTCTGTTCTTACTGTATTATTATAATTTTCCTTACATTCTTTTTTCTTTTATTAAGGTAGAAAAACTTTTAAGAGCCATTGCTGATGGAGACCTAGAAATGGTGAGTTTTTAGAAGTGAATTTCAAGCAGCTTGCTCTCAGCTTAAGCAGCTATGCTCATGTGTCTTGTCTCCAGGTGAGTCAGGAGCTGTCAGGGTTCTTTGTTCACGTTCACGCAGAAGGGGTGCATTTCATGAGTACTTGCTGATGGGATGTGATGTGACCCCCGCAAGTAACGAGGCAGGTGGAATAAAGCTGCAGTGTGAGCCTATCCCTGCCCTTTAGACATTCATATTCCAGGAGGGCAGCAATGTTGGCAAGAGGACCAGCCTGTGTCCAGGGGCACAGAGTGCAGGCTCGGGGCCAGAGTCCACTAGCCGGGAGCAGGGTGAACAGATCGGGTGGGGAAGGGTGGAGGTGGCGAAGGGGAGGCCAGAGCCCAGAGGGCGTTGGTGTGGCCCTGCAGGAGTTGTGGGCCGTTTGAATCCCTGGCTGGGAGGCTGAGACTCAGCCTTGGGGCTCCAAGGACTCACAAGCAAGTGTCCAAACGAGATGGTGCTAAGGTGTCAGGGAACATCTATGATGAGATCACTGGAGATGCCCATGGGCAGTTCCCCTGGCTTGCCTTTGGCTTCCTGAAAGGAATTTTTTCTGTCTTCCACTTTAAAAGGAGGGGTAAATTAGCACTTACCAGATTAGGAGGCCTGAGTGGATCAGATTTACAAGAGTGCTTCACAGGGATGTGTATTTCAAGAGTGCTTTTTGCCAATGGTGGAGCTTGAGGTGGTGGACAGCAGTTCCTGGCATCTGATCATCACAGCCTCCTGGGTGTTAAGAATCGGAAGGTAGTTGGCAGTGTCTTAGCCTCTGCCCAGAGGCCACTGTGAATCCATCAGCCTGACACGTGGTTACTCGGGGCGGGGGGAGGACACAGGCGTCTGGATCTGGCTGTTGCTCCCCTTGAGAGACCAGCCCCAGGGCACCCAGTGTTCTTGGGGGGAAGCAAAGAAAGAGTTCCTCAGGCTCCCTGTGAGCTGCGGCGAGAGCCAGTGTGGAGAAGAGATTGTGACCATCCCTGCGTCATGATGCGTCTGCTCTGTGCCCGAAGCTGCCGCCCCTCAGCTCCCTTCCCCCCGTCTTGTTCCTTCTAATCACCAAGAGGAACTGCCCTCGGTCCGGTCCGTCCCAGCCAGTCTGTTAGGTGAGGCCCCGGTTCAGGTGAGGGCTTTGGCGTTTCCACCCTGAGGAGCATCTGTTGTCAGAAAACATGGAAGGGACCTGGAGCGGGGGATGTTTGGGATTGAACGGGGTCTTCCTGGGGCCCTTTGTCACTCCTTGCAGGCTTTTGCTGACTTCCTCAGTGCTCAGAACCAGGCCTAGAAATGTATTTATATTGTTTTCTTTTCTCACGTTTAATATCCTAGAAACTTGTGTTTACTGGAACATAAATTTGACCTGTTAGGGGTCTTTTCGGTGCTTTCACCTGTGGGCTAGGGCATTAAAGTGGAAAGGACGCTGGCGTGGCATCAGAGAGCCTGTGATTAGGTTCTGGCCACCACCTCCTCATCCTGTGGCCTCGAACAAGTGGCCCCCGGAGTGAGTCTCTTCCCCCGTAGGATGAGACGGACCGGTCGTTGAAAGTGGACAGTTAGATGACGTAAGAGGAGGTGCTCACGAAATGCTCCAGGACAGGGCTCTAAAGCCATCACACTGAAGCAACACCGCTCTGCCCCTTTTTAAGATGGAAGAAGAGAATCTGCCGCAAGCTGCAGAAATGGGAGCTCAGTCTCTCTCTGTCACTACTGAAAGGATTGAGAAAGGCTTGAGCGCAGGTGAACCTTGGAATCCTCAAGAGGGAGCAGCCGTCATTTATAAGTTACTTTGGTGGTTGAGGAAATGTATCAATACGTCCTGATTAGAGAAGTGTGTGTGTGTATGTGTGTCTGTGTGTGTGTGTGTGTGTGTCTAAGATACCATAACTTGTAAAGAAGCTGAGGATGGGTTTTAAGTCCCTATTTCTCCTTACTGCCCGGCGCCAGGTGCGTTACCTGTTGGAGTGGACAGAGGAGGACCCGGATGAAGCGGAGGATGCTGTCAGGGCGGTGGATCTTGAATTTTGTCACCCCTTGTGCCAGTGCCCCAAATGTGCTCCAGCTCAAAAGGTTTGGCTTTTCTTCTGTTGGGGGATGGGCAAATTCTTCTTTTTACCCTTAGTAAAGTTGTCTGCTTCTCAGCCAGCTAACGGCCGAGTGGCTGGTTGTAGGTGTCCCCTGAGATACAGCTCAAGGTAGAGGAAAGTGGACATTCATGCAGGATCTGGCTCTGGCTGCCTGCTTTCTGAATGGGCAGGTCAGGGAACAGGGCCATGAACGCGGGCTTAGTGTTTCAGTGGTTCTCAGGGCCCCTGAGTCACAAGGCAGGAGCTTATGAACAGACATGCCCGGGGGTCTCTGTCCATGTGGCCATGGTCCCTTGGGAGGATGCAGGCAAGAGCCACTGCCCACTGCCTTTGTTCATGTTGGTGCACCCTCTGCGGGAGGACCCTCCCTCCAAGCACAGAGAGACCCCTGTGCCTTTTACCCTGTTTCCCCCAATGGTAATAGCCTGCAAAAGCACAGTACAATATCCCGACCAGGATATTACCATGGATACAATCCATCTGTCTTACTCAGATTTCCCCGCTTTTATTTGTGCTTGTGTGTGTGTGTGCGCGCATGCCTGCACGTGTGTTGATTTACGCGTTCTGTCTAGTTTTGTTTTTTCTTTAATTGTGGTATAGTTGTTTTACAATGTTGTGTTAGTTTCTACTGCACAGCAAGGTGAAGTAGAGGTCCCTGTGCTATACGCAGGTTCTCATTAGTTATCTGTTTTATACATATTAGTGTATGTATGTTAATCCCAATCTCCCAATTCATCCCACTCCCCCTCTCCCCACTTGGTGTCCATACATTTGTTCTCTACATCTGTGTCTCTATTTCTGCCTTGCAAACCGGTTCATCCCTACCATTTTTCTAGATTCCACAAATATGCGTTAATATATGATATTTGTTTTTCTCTTTCTGACTTACTTCACTGTGTATGACAGTCTCTAGGTCCATCCATGTCTCTACAAATGACCCAATTTCGTTCCTTTTCCTGGCTGAGTAGTATTCCATTGTATATATGTACCACATCTTCTTTATCCATTCCTCTGTTGTTGAACTTTTAAGTTGTTTCCATGTCCTGGCTATTGTAAATAGTGCTGCAGTGAACATTGGGGTGCATGTGTCCTTTTCTTAAATAATTAATTAATAATTTATACTTTATTTATTTTTGGCTGCGTTGGGTCTTCGTTGCTGCGTGTGGGCTTCGTCTAGTTGGGGCAAGCAGGGGCTGCTCTTCGTTGCGGTGCACAGGTTTCTCATTGCGGTGGCTTCTCTTGTCACGGAGCACGGGCTCTAGGCACGCGGGCTTCAGTAGTTGTGGCACATGGGCTTAGTTGCTACGCAGCATGTGGGATCTTCCTGGACCGGGGCTCGAACCCATGTCCCCTGCATTGGCAGGTGGATTCTTAACCACTGTGCCACCAGGGAAGCCCTGCATGTGTCTTTTTGAATTATGGTTTTCTCAGGATATATGTCCAGTAGTGGGATTGCTGGGTCATATGGTAATTCTATATTTAGTTTTTTAAGGAACCTCCATACTGTTCTCCATAGTGGCTGTATCAATTTACATTCCCACCAACAGTCAAGAGGGTTCCATTTTCTCCACACCCTCTCCAGCGTATGTTGTTTGTAGATTTTCTGATGAGGCCCATTCTAACTGGTGTGAGGTGTGATAGCTCATTGTAGTTTTTATTTGCATTTCTTTAATGATTAGTGATGCTGAGCATCTTCTCATGTGCTTCTTGGCCATCTGTATGTCTTCTTTGGAGAAATGTCTATTTAGGTCTTCCACCCTTTTTGTTTTTGGCTGCATTGTGTCTTCGTTGCTGTGTGCGGACTTTCTCTTTTGTCATTTCAAAGACTCTTTGCAGCGAGTGGGAGCTACTCTTTCGTTGTGGGGCACGGGCTTCTCATTGCAGTGACTTCTCTTGTGGTGGAGCATGGGCTCTAGGCATGCGGGCTTCAGTAGTTGTGGCATGCAGGCACAGTAGCGTGGCGCATGGGCTTAGTTGCTCCGAGGCATGTGGGATCTTCCTGGACCAGGGTTGGAACCCATGTCCCCTGCACTGGCAGGCGAATTCTTAACCACTGCGCCACCAGGGAAGTCCTTACGCCCAGTTTTTGATTGGGTTGTTTGTTTTTTTGATGTTGAGCTGCATGAGCTGTTTGTATATTTTGGAGATTAATCCTCTGTCCGTTGATTCGTTTGCAAATATTTTCTCCCATTCTAAGGGTTGTCTTTTCATCTTGTTTATGGTTTCCTTTGCTGTGCAAAAGCTTTTAAGTTTCATTATAGGTCCCATTTGTTTATTTTTGTTTGTATTTCCATTACTGTCCTGCATTCTGTGTAGTTTTATCACATGTGTAGGTTTGTGTGTCCACCACCACATTCAAGGTACAGGACAGTTCTCTCATCACAAGGAGAATAACTCATGTTGCCTTTTATAATCACACCCACGTCTCTCCCTGTCACCCCAGCCCACCATCCCTGACCCCTGGCAGCCACTAATCTGTTCTCCAGTTCTAATATCTTGTCATTTCAAAAATGTTATATAAAAGTCATCATACAAATAAAAAAAAAAAAAAAAAAAAAAAAGAAAAGTCATCATACAGCATGGAACCTTTGGGGATTGGCTTTGTTCACTCAGCCAGATTTCCAGGTTGTTGTGTGTAATCAGCGGTTTATTCTGCATCACCGAGCAAACTCTAAACACACCACTGGGCTAGAAGAATAGTTTTAATTTAATCACAGCATGAAGCAATTTACTTTCGTGTCTTTTTGAGAAATTACAAAAAGAGAAAAAGATAGTAGGCTTTAAAAGAGCAAGGAACATAAATTTATCCAGTAAATTCAACAGATGCTGTAGTGTGTAATTCAGTTTCTTGCTACAATTAATGAACTGTGAGGTGGGGGAGAGCAGAGTGGGTAAATGCCCAGAAGGACAGCAGAGACACAGTAACTGCTTCCAGCCATACAGTCACTGATGGGCCTGAGGGCTGTGCTGCTTCATTCACATCACATCCTTTGAAACAGCATCTGCCTTTTTAATCCCTTTGTTTTTCACAGCAGCCCACCTTGGGGAAGTCAGTTCTTGGGCTGTACATACCCAGCAGCATGCGGACAGAAGAAATGTTGTACATCCCAATGTACACAATACCCTGTAGCTGAAAAAGCTACAAGTGAATGAAAAACTACAAGTCATTTCAATATTCTTAGGTTAGAGACATCCATGGTGAAGCTTTTTAAATAAGGTAGTATTATCTTGCAGTACAAAGGATAACACCACTATATCTGTTTTGTAAAGTCAAATTAATTTTCTTAGCATGGGACATACACATTGAGTTAGACAGCTAGCACATGAATGAGCACATGCTGTGTATACAATGCCATTTACAACTGCTCAAAAAAAAAATGAACTACTTATGGATACACTTAACAAGACATGGACAGGATCTGTATGCTGGAAATCACAAAATGATGAAAAAAGTCAAAGAATGCGTAAATACTTAGGTATATCAGATCATGAAGACTCAATCTAGTAAAGATGTTATTTCTCCCCAGATTGATCTACAGTTTTGTTTTTGTTTTTGTTTTTGTTTTTGCAGTACGCAGGCCTCTCATTGTCGTGGCCTCTCCCGTCGCGGAGCACAGGCTCTGGACGCGCAGGCTCAGAGGCCACGGCTCACGGGCCCAGCTGCTCCGCGGCATGTGGGATCTTCCCGGACCGGGGCATGAACCCGGGTCCCCTGCATCGGCAGGCAGACTCTCAACCACTGCGCCACCAGGGAAGCCCTGATCTACAGTGTTAATGCAGTTCCTATCAAAATCCTAACAAAGTTTTTGTAGACATAGACAAGCTTATTTTAAAATTTATATGGAAAGGTGCAGGCCCTAAAATATCTAAAACGATCCTGGCAATGAAGAATAAATTAGGATCACTCTACCCAATATTAAGGCTAACTATGTAGCTACAATAATCAAGACAGTGTGGCCCTGGTGGAGGGACAGACACACAGATCACTGGGACAGAACAGAGAACCCAGAAATAGACCCACACATATATAGTCAACTGAGGTCTGACAGCAAGTCGGTGGGGGAAGGACGGCCTTTTCAACAAACAGTGCTGGAGCAAGTGGACATCTTCAGGCAAAAAAATGAACCTCAACATAAACTCACACCCTGTACAAAAATTAACTCAAAATGGACCACAGACTTAACCGTAAAATGTAAAATTATAAAACTTTTAGAAAAAAACAGGAGGAAATCTTTGGAACCCAGGGCTAAGCAAAGAGTTCTTAGACTTGACACCCAAAGCATGATCCATAAAGAGCAAATGGATAAGTTGGACTTCTAAATTGTAAACTTGTCCTGTGGAAACCCATGCAAAGAAGCTATCCAGGCAGATTACAGACTAAAAGAAAATACCTGGGCTTCCCTGGTGGCACAGTGGTTGAGAGTCCGCCTGCCAATGCAGGGGGCACGGGTTCGTGCCCCGGTCTGGGAAGATCCCACATGCTGCGGAGCAGCTGGGCCCGTGAGCCATGGCCGCTGGGCCTGCGTGTCCGGAGCCTGTGCTCCGCAGCGGGAGAGGCCATGGCGGTGGGAAGCCCGCGTACCGCAAAAAAAAGAAAATGCCTGCAAGCCACATATCTGACAAAGGGCCAGAATTTAGAATATATAAAGAACTTTCAAGACTCGATAGTAAAGTAAGAAAACAAACCAATAAGAAAATGGGCAAAGGGAATGAACAGACATTTCATTGAAGAGCATTTAGATATGGCAAATAAGCACATGAAAGGATGTTCAGGGTCATCACCCATCAGGGAAATGCAAATTATAGCCACAGTGAGATAACACTATGTGCCTACCAGAATGGCTAAAATCAAAATTAGTGAAAAGTGACAGCACCAAGTGCTGGTGAGGATGTGGGGAACTTGGTTCACTCATCCATTGCTGGTGGGAATATAAAAGCCACTCTGGAAAACAGTGTTTGTTGTCAGTTCCTTATAAAACTAACCATAGAATTGCCATGTAATTACCATATGATTCAGCAATTGCATTCCTGGGCATTTATCTTAGAGGAATGGAAACTTATGTTCTCACAAAAACCTGTAAACAAATGTACACAGCAACTTTATTTGCAGTATCCCCGAACTGGAAACAACCCACGTGCCCTTCAATGGGTGAACTGCTAAACAAAGTATGGCAGGGGCATGCCACGGGGCACTGTTCAGCGATAAAGAATAAACCGTTGATTACATGCAACACCTGGAATCAGGACATTTGGTAGTCTCCTGGTTTTGGCTTTGTGAATAAAGCAACTGTGAACATTTGTGTACAGTTCTTTGTGTAAATATATTTTTACTTGGGTAATTACCTAGGAGTATAATTGCTGGGTTATGCAGGAGGTATATGTTAACTTGAAATGACCAGTTTTCCTCAGTGATTGTAGCATTTTTCATTCCCGCCAGCAGGGTGTGAGAATTCTAGTTGCCCCAAATCCCGGTGAACACTTGGTATTTTGACTTTTTAACTTTAGCCATCTGGTAAGTGTGCAGTGGTATTTCCTCATGTTCTTCCCTTCTACGTCTTCATCTGCTTGTTTTTGATTTTTGAAGTATAGTTTATATACAGTAAAATTCACCCTTTAAATTTAGCATAGCTTTTTAAAGAGAACATTTTTAATCATCGAAAAGTGAACTAGATAACTCAAGTTTTAATCCTTGATCAATCACAGAAAACATTGACATATTAATTCCACTATCAAATATATGATTCAACATCACAATTTAATGTTTGTTTTTAGTTCTATTGGTTTGTTTTGTTTGCCCTCTTAATTACTGATGGATTGTTCTTTTTTTTTTTTAAACACAAATCTTTTTTTTTTAAAGGAATTTTGCCTTTTTTTTATTTTTTAAATTTTATTTATTTATTTATTTATGGCTGTGTTGGCTCTTCATTTCTGTGCGAGGGCTTTCTCTAGTTGCGGCAAGCGGGGGGGCCATTCTTCATCGCGGTGCGCCGACCTCTCACTATCGCAGCCTCTCTTGTCGCGGAGCACAGGCTCCAGACGCGCAGGCTCAGTAATTGTGGCTCATGGGGCTAGTTGCTCCGCGGCATGTGGGATCCTCCCAGACCAGGGCTCGAACCTGTGTCCCCTGCATTGGCAGGCAGATTCTCAACCACTGTGCCACCAGTGAAGCCCAGATGGATTGTTCTTATATCCGCATGATTGGTTTTAAAACCATTGTGAATAAAAAGGAAGTTCCATGATAAAAATGAAGGTGAACTTCAGAGATAAGTAGCAAACAGTTTTCTGAGGTTTGACAAATGAATGTGTAACCACCAGCACAATAAAAATATAGACTATCACCCAAAATATTCTTTCCTGCCCCTTTGAAGTTTGCCATATTCCATGTTGCATCCCCTGACCATCACTGATCTGCTTTCTGACCCTTTGGTTTTGTGATTCCTGATTTTGATTTGCATTTCTCTGAAAACTACGGATGTTATTTTATGTGCTCATTGACCGACCATTCAACCGTCTGCTTTTGTGAAGTCTTTTCATATCTTTTGCCTATTTTCTTTTCCTTTTGCCTGTTTTTTTTTAAAAAGTTGGATTGTCTTATTGAGTTGTAAGAGTTTGTTTTGTTTTGCTTTTAAGTTCTGGTTGGTACAAGTCCTTTGTCAGATACACATATTTGCAAACATTTTTCTGCCCTTATATGACTTGCCTTTTCATTTTCTTACTTGCCTCATGCAAAGAGCAAACATTAAACATTTTTATTAAGTCAGTTTATCAAACTTTTTTTATGGCTTTTGCTTTTTGTGTCTTATCTAAGAAATCTTTGCGTATCCCAACGTTGCAAAGATTTTCTTTTGTGTTTACTTCAAGAAGTTTAATAGTTGTAGCTTTTACATTTAGGTCTGTGATGCATTTTAGTGTTTGTGTTTGGTGTGAGGTAAGGGTTGATGGGCAGTTTTCCCATATGTGGATGTCCAGTTGTTCCAGCACCATCTGTCAAACAGACTTTGCCTTCCCTGTTCACTTGCCATGGCATAAAACGGTATCATTGTAGGGGGCTTGCTTTCCTGAAAACGGAAGTCAGTCCTTCGATGTATCATACCTTTCTAAAGTAGTAATTCACCTGTGGGCAACCCGATTCAGGATGCCGCTGTGATTCCAGATTTTACAGAGGGGCTGTGAGGGACAGATGGCTTCAGTTCCTTCAGCCGGGTTCCTTAAGTACTAACAACATTTCCGTTTGCACATTCTGCACTTATTAGAAGCTGGCAAAGATTCCTACCAGTGGGCTTGGTGTGAATGTGACCAGCCAGGATGGCTCCTCCCCACTGCACGTTGCTGCCCTGCATGGTCGCGCGGACCTCCTCCTCCTCCTCGTGAAGCATGGTGCCAGTGTGGGGGCCAGAGACGCAAAGCAGGCCGTCCCACTCCACCTGGCCTGCCAGAAGGGCCACTTCCAGGTATGCGTCCTGGCTCTTGCGCAGCGTGTATAGGGTTAGAACCGCACTTGGCAGGAGTGCTGCCGAGGGAAGGGTTTGCTTGCTGGCCCAGAGGACGGGCCCATTTCCTTCCTCCCAGCGCCGAGATTCTGAGATGCACACGGTAGGACCACTCAGCAACAGAACACAGAACCCTGGGGCTTCTGGGGGTGGAGCCAAGCCCCCTCCCACTGGCATTCACGTCTGGCAGCACGGAGGCTGTCATTCTGATTCTGACCCCAGCTGGGAGCTGTCTCTCTGGTTCTTGGGTGTTGGTCATCTGTGCCAAACAGTTCAGTATCTATTTGTTTTTTCATTTTTCCTTATTAGTTCCACTGTAAGGTTTTTAAAGCTAGGAATCATATTTCGGGTAATGCCTAGCATTAGTTTTCTAACATGTGAAACTGGAGTAATAACTACAGCTCTCCACAGAGGAGATGGAATGATTAGATGAAAAACACGCGTGCCTAGTACACCGCCTCCACACACACAAGACCCTCAGCAAATGTTAACCCCTCCCCCTTCACTGGTCTGCTTTCTCCTGAGGGTCAGACATGGATCTAAGAGTCTTCTAGATAAGCTTACAGAAAAGTCAAAAGAATAGCAAGTTAGATGATCTATCCCTGCAAATTTTAATTAAAGTTGAACACTTTTCTTCTCTGGCCTAGGTGGTGAAATGTCTACTAGATTCTAATGCAAAACCCAATAAAAAGGATATAAGTGGGAACACACCCCTCCTTTATGCCTGTTCCAGAGGCCACCACGAAGTTGCGGCATTGTTGCTGCAGGTAAGGACCCCCTCGCCCCCAGCCCAGGAGCTGCTGACACGGCTTGGTGATGGGCATCCCGCCACGCGGCTAGCCTCTGGCAGCGCACCGGGGAGGGGCGGGAGAGGGAGACCGCTTGGCTTTTGCTTTAAGCTGGCCCTGGGGTGGGGAGCTTTGCAGTAATGGGGTCTCAGCGTCCGAGCTGCATCAGGGATGCAGAGTTAAGGACTGAGACGCCGCTTTTGCTGAGGGCTTGGATCTTGCCTCATTTAACCAGGTCAGTTGAATTGTCACCTGCAGTGTGAGCTGAATGTCCTTTTATGTCACTGCTCCTTTTTGCCTCTCTTGATAAAGGGTATATGTGTTGACTGTAGAAGGAAGAATTTTTAAAAGTAGAGAGAAACCCAACTTTTCAATAACCCTGTTTCTCAAAGGCAACTAACTTTGGTGACTTCTTAAAAATGTGCATAGTTTAGATCAGTAGTGTTTTCTGTCTTGCTTGTTTTAACTTAACATAGAAGACTATTAATTTTATTTATTTAATTTTTATAATTAATTTATTTTATTATTTATTTATTTATTTTTGGCTGTGTTGGGTCTTCGTCGCTGTGCGCGGGCTTTCTCTAGTTGCTGCGAGCGGGGGAGCTACTCTTCATTGCGGCGCGCAGGCTTCTCATTGCGGTGGCCTCTCCTGTTGCGGAGCACAGGCTCTAGGTGGGCAGGCTCAGTAGTAGTGGCTGGCAGGCTCTAGAGCGCAGGCTCAGTAGTTGTGGCACACGGGCTCAGTTGCTCCGCGGCATGTGGAATCTTCCTGGACCAGGGCTCAAACCCATGTCCCCTGCATTGGCAGGCGGATTCTTAACCACTGGACCACCAGGGAAGTCCGAAAATTGTTTATTAAAACCTCAGTTTTTAGTGGTTCCATAATTATGGATGTACCATGGCCTTTTTTTAACTGTTTCTGCTCAATACATTTAGGTGACTTTTATTTTTTTTCCTGTTATAATGATAAATGCTGCCATGAATATCTTTGTACATAAATCTTTTCTCCTCAGTATTACTTTCACTCCTAACATCTTAAAGAAAATTTTCTGACATACAGCAAAGTTGAAAGAATGTTATAGGGCACACCCATATAGGTACCACATCGATTCAACATTACTTCTGATTATGCCGTTTCTCTCTCTAGCATGGGGCCTCCATTAATGCTTCTAACAATAAGGGCAACACAGCACTGCACGAGGCTGTGATAGAAAAGCACGTCTTCGTGGTGGAGCTGCTTCTGCTTCATGGAGCATCAGTTCAGGTCTTGAACAAGAGGCAGTGCACAGCTATAGACTGTGCTGAACAGGTAGGTGGGAGTGCTTCAATGCTGAGAGCATCCCAGGCTCCCTTACAGCTCACGGGGATCCCCTGTGTTTAAACCCGATCTGAAAGAGCAGTAGTCAGACCTCTGACTTGCCGTGCCAGGCTGAGTAGGTGTGCTGGAAGTCTGTGAGTGTGGCTGCATCCCTGGTCCTTGGTCACCTGATCAGAGGCGGCCTGCTGGGGCAGTTTTCAAAGGCCTGGTTAGAGGTGCCCCCTACCCACCACAGGCCTTGGTGCCTCTGGCACACAGTCCAGCAGTTAGGTACTCGCGGGGAAGAGCAGGTTGACCTGGTCTCACCCTCCCTGCACTGGGAATATGCCTGTGGTCCTAGCAGCACGAGGGAGGGAGTGTGTGCAGTTAGTGAACAAACCTTGAGTTCTGTAAGGAGAAGTGTGATGTGCGGTTCACTACCCTCCCAGTGTGTGGACGTGCGCCATGGAGAGATGGTGAGGAAATAGGAGGAGACTAAAGGAGGGACCTCTTTACTCTTCCTCTTTTCATGTTGAATCTTTATCTAGTTTCCTACTCAGGTAGACAACTACTAGGCTGTTAAATGACACCACTGACATATTAAAGTCACCATAAATCCAACCTACTTATAGGCTTAGTATATTAATTTCTAATTTTCAGTTGTGTTTCTTAACAGAATTGAAAAATTTTATACTTTCAATTTAGCACTTTCTCAAATGATGAATATCTTTTATTGAGCACTTACTATGTGCTGGGTGCTGGATAACCTCATGATAACTCTACAGTAATAGATCCTATTCTTGTCAACCCAGTTGCACAGAGCAGTGAAACACGGGCCCAGAGTACCACCTAGTGGAGTGCAGAGCCAGCCCCCAAATACAGTGCTGTTCTTCACCACTAGGCTTTATGGCCTCAAAGTTTTGTCTGTAGCTGCTTCTTAGCTTTTCTGCCCAGCCGTGCCAACACTGACATTTAGATCAGAAACAGGCAATAACCTGCTAAGAAAGCATACAAAACGTTACTGTTACCTTTTACCTTTCACATTGTAGAATTCAAAAATAATGGAATTGCTTCAGGTAGTACCAAGCTGTGTGGCCACATTAGATGATGTTGGAGAAACAGACCACAATGAGTACGTTACTGTCAAGATCAGGAAAAAATGTAAGAACTCACATCCTTTCTGTAATTCTCAACTTGGGTTTATTTGGAAGTTCATGAGTGGTTGGTTGCTGGTTTTCACTTAATTGTAAATGTAAAACAATTATAATCATGACTGGGGGTGGGATATAGGCACCAAAGAAATGTATGTTATATCCTGTTTCACCCATCCTGTAACATACATTTCATCCAGAAATGTATGTAATATCCTTTTTCATCCATTGTTTGGATACTGGTTTTCTGCTTGATTGTGATGCTCCCTAAAGAGGTAAGATGGACACTCTGGGCATTACCCTGAAGGTCAGGCCTCCACTCGCCAACCAGGGAGGAGGAACCACCTCTGGTAGTTTCTTTCATGTCTCATGTTCTGAATCCAGGCCTTTTTCTCAGCACTTCCTGGACATCTGGGGTAAATGCTACCTTTAAAGATTTCTTTTTTAATCTGCAGGTGTACAGAGGTAGGTGGTCATTAGAACAGCAGCTGCCAAACGGGTGGGGCTGAAGTATTTTCCTCTTTTTTAAAAAGTTGTTACAGTTTAGATGGGGTCCTTGTTCAACTTTTAAAAAAAATTGCAATTGTAGTTTGCAGTGCAGTAATGTGAATAAGCCCATTCACACATCTGGATAATCCTGAGGCTGTCTCATCCTATTTGGCTATGCCTGGGGAATATCAGTATATTAAGGATTTATCTTTGTTTCATGGGGGTTCACACAGTAATAAATAGGTATCTACTAATACGTTTCTGTAATCAAATGCAGTGCTTAATTTCCTAAATTTTGTTAGACTTTAACAAAAGGAAAGTTGAAAGTTTGCATCTGTGCTATAATTTTTAAACAATTCTGAAACTAGTTTGGAAGTTTTCAGATGTTTATCCTTTTATCTACAGGGAACTCCAAAATGTATGATCTACCAGATGAACCTTTTACAAGACAGTTTTACTTTGTCCACTCAGTTGGTCAGTTTAAGTGAGTATAAGATTCGAGTTGATTTCTGTGCTTTTGACCTTAGCTTTACTTAACAACTCAAGCAGGTTATATGCAGCTTTAATGGGTTATAAATAAATCTGCACTCATCAAATGCTGCCGCCTCGTGGCCAACCAGAGTATTTCGCACCACTGTCCCTAACGTTTATTTTAGTTTGTTTTGGGTTTCAGGGGAAGGACCTCGAGGGAGATTATGGCAAGAGATAGAAGTGTCCCTAATTTTGCTGAGGATTCTTTGCATGAGGTGAGTTATTAAACACTGGCTTATAATCTTACTTTTCCAAGCCTGAATTTTTCAAAACTAATCCATGGTAAACACATTTCTCATTTCATTATTCCCTTCACGGATAAGAGTTACTAACAATTAAAATGAGTTCCTTAGTGGCATGGTCACTTACTGTTATATTTAATAATGCGTTTCTGAGCTGAGAAAGGAAAGTGAAGAAAAAGTGGGGAATAGTTGTAATGCATGGAAAGGTGCTGCAGTTTACAGTGTGCATACTAGATGAACTATCTCACATTTTACTATGGAAGCAAATTCACTAATGTGTTAATCACTAATGTAAGGAAGAAAACACATTTGTATATAGATGGGTAAAAAACTTCAAGTATGGTATAAAGTTGCTCGTATAGACAATTCTGTATGTGGCCATCTTCCTATAGCACTATTTAATTCTCCTGCTTTACATTCTGTGGTGTTTTTAGGTGGCTCTTCTCAGAAAACATGGCTTGGCTTGTCTTTTTTTTAAATCGAAGTATAGCTGATTCACACTGTTGTGTTAGTTTCTAGTGTACAGCCAAGTGATTCAGTTACGTATTCTTTTTCACGTTTTTTCCACAAGATATTTTTTATTCACGTTTTTATTACAAGATATTGAATATAGTTCCCTGTGCTATACAGTAGGACCGTGTTGAAACATGGCTTTTCTTATTGCTGCTTGCCAATATAATATATGCCTTATTTATGAGAAATCGAATTTATAGTATGTGTGGCATAGGCTTGCTGGAAGAAATACACTGAAGTTCTAAATCTTTTAGAGAATTAGTGATTTTTGTTAAGATAACTTTGATTTCATAGTTAATCTTCCATGGCTTTGCTAATAGACCTGCTGCTGGCTGGGAAACCTGCAAACTTTGAAATCTGCCTGGGTTCAATCAAGTGTTAGCGTTTCCCATAACAATAGTACACACTTGTTAGAGTTGTAAAGATTAAATGTGAAAACATGTAAAGCGTTTACATTGTGTCTGATACATGGAGTGTGCAAATGTCATACTTTCACTGCAGGGATGTTAAGAGTTGAAATTATGCCTGGAAAGTACTGAGCACATTGGATGGCACATAGAAGCACTCTATGGTAGCTGTTATTGTGTGGGTCGTTTCAAGTATAGCACAAATGTGAACTGTTTGAATCATACCTTTTCTTTAGCCAGGGAGGCAAAGAGTCACTCAGAAGCAGAATAACCTGCCAGACCAGAGCAGCTCTCAGTCGGCTGACACAGGAAACGATGGTCAGCCAGAGAGGCCTGGACCGAGACAAAGTGCTCCCAGACAAAGGCGAATGCTCCGTAGACACATAGTCAATGATGCGGTTGTACCCAAGGGCCCAGAGACTGCTGGCAACCTGACCACTCCCCAAGAGGCTAGCATTTCCCAATCTTAATAGTAATAAGGAATTATCTACTGCCAAGAAGTGAGTCCTCAACAAGAAGATGCCAAGCATGAGTACAGCTTAGAACTAAATGAACTTACTGTTTGTCTTGAGAGAAAAGCAGAAAGGTCCTGAAAGCGTTTCTGTGGCTGATGGAAAGAATGCAACAACAAAAAGCTATCACCATCTCTTTCCTCTTCAAAGCTAATGGATACACTTGAAAAGGAATGGACAAAAATTCCAGGAGTATCCAGATCCTTAAGACGCTTCTTCTTATGTATTAGGGTTCCTTGGTTACAGTGAGGTTTCATCACCAGATTCTGACCTCCTTCTACTGAAAGGTGCTAGACCTCTGGGATGTGTGTAAACTTGCAAACCACAGCTAAAAGAATTCCTCCCTCTGCAATAAGCTGAAGAAAAGCAATTTAGGTTTCATGGTACTGTGGAGGCCGGGCGGAAATGTTGCATTGGAATCAAGGAAATAATAGGACCTGAAAAATGTCCCTTTGCAAGCAACACTTGAACCCAAAGATGCCTAAATGCCATTTTGATGCTCATTTTAGTTGAAAGGACACATATGATATGTTCTACACTATGTGGGGAAAGTTGGGTATAATTTTTCTTCTAAAAAATTAAGTACAGATAATTGATCACTGCATTTATACACCTGTAGCAGTGTCTCTGGAAAAATCCCTTTCCGTTAAGAGCCTCCCTTAAATGTCACACCTGATGGATGGTTCCTGAACTAGACAGTAGACTTGGCACACCTTCTCTTAGTCTTTTGATTCAGATTCAAAACTTACAGCACAAACCAGGTCAAAGTTACCTTAAATTAGAATTTATTACCATTTATTCCTTTTTATAAATTTCTATAGCTTATACTCATTTTTTTGTTATCGGTTGGTCTAGAGCTGCAAACATGGGTTTGTCCAGAGTACATTTTCAAACAAACAACTTTGTAACAGGAAAATGGTTCTGTGCACGTTCTTGGAAACACTTGCGTATGTACAGAAGGGAGGGGCTGATTATTTTTCTACAAAGTAATTTATGATTTTTAATTTTCTAATGTGCCTTGGACATGTGCCAAATGATGGAAAAGAAACAGTAAACTTTATGATTCTTGAGCGTGTCACGGTGTACTTTTTTGAGTTTGTTTTGCTAGGAAGATGTGTTTCTCAGCCTTTCTGCTATAAACATGTGCTTTGTATATGGAAAAATCTTCCCCCATTGGAGATACATTTTATTTTTCAGTTATAGATATAAGTACGACTGAAGCATGTAAACTGGATCATCTGGAGAGCACTACCCATGTACCCGGAGTAGGGCTGACCTAATCCAGTAAGCCCAGTGTCTAGGGTCCCCACAAGGATGTTTGAATTTCCTTTAACATCATCAGAAGAGCAAAACCGAATATAATACAGCTTCTTAGCCCAAACAAGAAACAAGCACTGTTGCTTTGCAAGTTTCTTTGTTCTATTTTTACTCCTTTCCCCCACTTTTAAACAAAACCACCTCATTGACTTAAGTTGCTGTGCTTCTCTACCATCCTAATTAAGAAACTTGACCCTATGCAGTTGATCAGCACGGCCATTTCCAAGATGCAAATACATATATTTGACACCACCTAATTTTTGGAGTGGTGCAATATAATATTGAAAACTTTCACATATACCCCCAATTAATTTCTAACAACTGTCCTGGCTGGTAGAATTGTCAAATGAGGAGCCAGGTTCATGGAAATAATAAGGGGGCTAATTTGTTTGCACCGTCAGAGCTGGTGTCAGGCCCTGGCTGGCAGAGTCACCTGAATTGGCAGATTCCAGCTCAGTGTGCCCTTCATCTGGAGATGTAAATGCCATGAATGGGGCTGTCAATCTTAGCGGAGAAGATTCCTCTTGAGCTACTTTGGTAATCAGCGGGGTGAGCTATCTGAAGTGATTACCTCAATTATTTTTAAAAACACTTGTGTTTTTCTCCAGTTACTTTCCCACTTACAAATAAATTTGACAACTCAGACATTGGTAATGCCCAAATTTCTGTTTTGTGTAAGAATGTTCTGAATTCAAAGTTAAATTAGAAAGTTGAGAATAACCACCCCCCCCACCCTGTGGACGGAAACGTACTCCACCCGCTTGATGCAATCAAGAACCTCTATCCTTGTACACAGTCACTTTCCATTCTCGCGTATCTCTGAAGGATGGGAGGCTGACAATCTTTAAACACATTCACATTGGTAGCTGCCATCAGGACAGTGGTTATTCTGCAAGAGAAAGTGTGTAGCAAACTTGCTGAGAATTGTCTAGTCTCCCTCCAGCATTTCTATGTAAATGAGACAAAACAAAATGTACCTGTAACTGGGATTTTTTTTTTCAAAATCCTTGATCAGATTTTACTTTTGATGATTTACCCTGTTACTCTGAAAAATTTTTGATGTTCTTAATGGTTCTACTCATTCGTTTATTCAGGGATACTAGACACTTTATTCTAACACTGACTTTCTTCAGCATCTATGGTTACAAATTTCAAGTCTCAAACATAGTAAAATCTCAAATATAGTTTAAACATATATCAGCAGTGTGCTAGCTAAAGCAGAGATTGGGATTGTAAACCACATTTCCCATCACTTTCCTGCTACTAATCCTATTCATCTCATTAAATGTTATGAACTTCCTCCAGGGCTAGGCCTCCCGGGACTAAGACATCTATCTATACAAGGTTACACCAAACAGCTCACCTGAGAGTTCAGTTTATTTATTTATTTATTTTTGGCTGTGCTGCGCAGCTTGCCGGATCTCAGTTCCCTGACCAGGGATTGAACCCGGGCCACCGCAGTGAAAGTGCCGAGTCCTAACCACTGGACCGCCAGGGAACTTCCTAGAGTTAAGTTTACGATTTAAATTTATGAGCACAGTTTTTCATAACCTGGTGGGAGTAAAGCACAATATAAGAGATGACATTTTTAAAAAATATATTTATTTATTTGGTTACGCTGGGTCTTAGTTGCAGCAGGCGGGCTTCTTAGTTGTGGCAGGCGAACTCTCAGTTGCAGCATGCACGTGGGACCTAGTTTCCTGACCAGGGATCGAACCCGGGCCCCCTGCATTGGGAGCACGGAGTCTTAACCATGCACCACCAGGGAAGTCCCAAGAGATGACATTTGCTTTAAGTTACCTGCAACCTTATCAGTGAAGACCCAGAACGTTTCTACCAAAATGTTTAACCACTAAACTGTCTCAACTGGATTTGAATCATTAGAAATCATTTCTCTTACAAACATGTTTACTAGTGTTGAAGTAATATTGCCAGCATGTCTCAGTTATTTTGGTAATTTTTTTCCAATGGATGTATCCTCTAGTTACAGAGGTTGTTTGGATAGGGGTCATATTTGTTAGATAATTTAGTCTCAATATGCTTTGAAAAGCATATTATAAATGAAGCCAAAGCTAGGAAATTTCCCACATTAAATGTAAGTACTATCTTCAGGGAGAAAAGCAGCTTACCTGCTTTCAGAACCTATGTCTTGGAAATATTAAAGTTGACTCAGCTTAGTCCATGAGTCTTAAATCCCATGATGTTACCGGACACTGCTATTTTCTTTTTACTGAAGATGACTGAGCAGCTTCTATTTCTGCTAAGGCCATTTTCCCACCTAACACTAATGTCACAATTACAAAGGATATATTCATGCTGCTGCACATGTTCGAAAGCTTTTGATAGGAAAGGAAAAAATCGAAAATGCAGGTCTTCTGTTCATTCTGCTATGGTTTTATTTTTATTTATTTATTTATTTTTTTGCGATATGTGGGCCTCTCACTGTCGTGGCCTTTCCCGTTGCCGGACGCACAAGCTCAGCGCCCATGGCTCACGGGCCCAGCCGCTCCGCAGCATGTGGGATCCTCCCGGACCGGGGCACGAACCCGTATCCCCTGCATCGGCAGGCGGACTCCCAACCACTGCGCCACCAGGGAGGCCCTCTGCTATGGTTTTAAAACAAGTCTGTCCAAATTGTTTTATTTTGCATAACAAGTTTATTTTTAAAAGGCATATAGACAGTAAACAAAGTAAACATCCCATCGAGATCTTAACTTCAGCTAAGTGTTATCTGTCCTAGAATTGCTCCATTAAGTTCCAGTCTCTAGACATCTTAAATTCAATAATCGTCATCTTCATCAGAGTCCATTACTTTTCTTCTGCTGAACTGGGGGGAAAATTAAATGAGTATCATAACATGTTTCACAAAGCATAACTCAGATTTTCTGAGAACACAAATTTCTACCTACTACAGGGAGACATTTCTGTCTGTCTTTAAAACAACTTAGTGTTTCAAAACAATAAGAGCCTTGAAAATTAGGCCCTCAATATATGCAACCTTTCTCCCCAAACTTCCCTGTGTTATAAAATGAAAATGTCTATGGGCTGAAACATGTTTGATATAGTACATGCAGATGCAACGCTTATTTAAAATATCAGTCTTTCTTTTGCCGTGTGCATTTGGGGAAACTTACTTTAACTGTTGTTTTCTTTTCTGTTTGTTGGCTTACTTTTTCGAGGATTTCTATTAAACCTTGTTCTGATACCTAGGATAACCACAGAGAAAAACAGTAGTTTTTTAAAACAAAGAATTGACCTCAGCAGACTGAACGGTTTTAGTCCTTCTGGGGTGCGGGGTAGAGGTCAAGAGGGAAGGAGACTGGGACAGCGGGCTGAAGCCACTGGCTATAACTCTTGGTTTAAGTTCCACATAAAATCTGCTCTGCTAGTCTTCATTTGAGGGAGGAAAAGTATCCATCAGTTAGCTTCCTCGAAAAATACAAAATTAACAGGTACTTAAGAACACCTTCATCACCACTGGCAGACAATGACAACCACCTACACCACTGTGTTAAGTGTCAGGGACAGAGATACACCATCTCTGCCCCTGAAACCTTGAGAAGCTTAAAAGCAGGAGACGAGTCACTCATAAACGGTGAGGCAGTCGTTGTCTCCTCCACACACATTCTCAGTGTAAGGGG